GGAGGCTTTCTCTCACCATGACATGGCTGCCCTGGCCTTCACTAGTCCCTTGGCCTTCACAGCAGGGACCACTGTCTGCCTCTACCAGATTATTTATATACCTGCATGTCTGGGCCCCGTTCCCCATCCTCACATGGGACCACACCTGCCTTACTCAGTGTTCCACCTCCAGGTCCCAGAACAGAGCCTGGCACAGAGTTTGTGTCAACACTTATTTGTCAAGAGGTGACCCAGAGAGACACAGACCGAGAACCAGGAAATTGGATGGGACTCGAGGCCTTGGTAAGTGCGACTCCGTTCCTTAGAACACACTAGGAATGCAGATACTGTTATTGGGGTTTTTATAGGTTTTTGTCATATGGCACTTGCGCTCGCCAGAGACAAAGAGACAGTGAGAGGCAAAGTGATACCTCACCTCCAGGAGGGATGGCCACACCGCGGTCACTTCTCCATTCTCTTCCTAAGATTTTGGGCATGCATGTTGTGCAACTAGTGTGATTTTTACTGTGGTCGGCCATGTGAGAGTCCAGCACCCTAGCCTCTACACCACCTGCTGGCCCTTGCAGATGCTGTTTATAGAGACTGTGGCTAAGGATACACAACGAGCCGGGTGACCTGGGTATGAATTCTGGCTGTGGCTTACTACTTGGGTGACGTGGGTCTGTTCCTCAGCCTGGTCTGACTCAGTTTCCTCATTGTAAAATGGACATATACAGCACCCCTCCCATGAGGGAGCTGTGAGGCCTCGCTGAGGTCAACCAGAGACTGAGACCGCTCACCAACAGCCATGGAGTGGCCATCTTGAAAATTATCCACTAGCAGCAAATTGTTAGAAATACTCATTTTAGGGAACCAGCAGTTAGCGTAATGGCTATGTTGCTGGACTCCCACGTAGTCGACTGCGGTTCGCATCCCGGACCCGGTGGCTTAGAACTCACACCGGGCGCGTGTGCGTGCATGCCTAAGATCCCGAGAGGAGAACGGAGGAGAAAGGATTGCGGCGTGACCATCCCCCCGGGGGGTGATTTCTCGTTTTCTGTCTCTATGTCTCTCTCTGTCTGTCTGTCGAACGCACACGCCCTATAGCGAAAACCTCTCCAAAAAAAAGAAATACTCATTTTAGGGAGATCAGCAGATGGCATAGTGTTTTTTTCACTAGACTCCCACATGGCCAATTGCAGTTCAAGTCCCGGACCCAGTAGCTTAAAACTCACGTCAGGTGCTTTGCACTGGGGCCCAAGATCCTGGGAGGAGAATGGAGGAGGAAGGATTGGCATGGCCATCCTCCCAGGAAGATGATTTCTCACTTTCTGTCTCTGTCTCTTCAGCAAGCACACACATCCTATAGCAAAAATCTTTCAAACAAACAAAAAAATTTTAAAGAAAAATAAATTTTCATTTTAAGGTATAGCATATAAGGATCTGAGAATGATTTAACTTCAGTCACTCCCTTCTCTTTCTTCCCACCATTGTCCAGCATTTTATTTTTATCTCAGATCTTCTGCCTTCCAAATTTACTATTAGTGTTTAGTCACACAGGTGCTGGTTTAGGCTTACCTGTGCTCACCAGTTTGTTTACTGTCACCATACCAGCTACCAATGTATTGTCTTTCCGCTCCAAACCCATTCTGCACCCTGCTTCATCACCGGTTTTGTGAAACTGGAGCCGGCCCCTGTAAGTGTTTATCAACTGACATGATGTAATGTGAAGGTCTGTCAGTAGAGGGCACCAGAGGTTCACTGCAGGAGCAAGGGGGCTCGCTCGCGCTCTCTCTCTCTCTCTCTCTCTCTCTCTTTCTCTCTCTCTTTCTCCCATTTTGGGCATGCATGTTGTGCAACTAGTGTGATTTTTACTGTGGTCGGCCATGTGAGAGTCCAGCACCCTAGCCTCTACACCACCTGCTGGCCCTTGCAGATGCTGTTTATAGAGACTGTGGCTAAGGATACACAACGAGCCGGGTGACCTGGGTATGAATTCTGGCTGTGGCTTACTACTTGGGTGACGTGGGTCTGTTCCTCAGCCTGGTCTGACTCAGTTTCCTCATTGTAAAATGGACATATACAGCACCCCTCCCATGAGGGAGCTGTGAGGCCTCGCTGAGGTCAACCAGAGACTGAGACCGCTCACCAACAGCCATGGAGTGGCCATCTTGAAAATTATCCACTAGCAGCAAATTGTTAGAAATACTCATTTTAGGGAACCAGCAGTTAGCGTAATGGCTATGTTTCTGGGCTCCCACGTAGTCGACTGCGGCGGACCCGGTGGCTTAGAACTCACACCGGGCGCGTGTGCGTGCATGCCTAAGATCCCGAGAGGAGAACGGAGGAGAAAGGATTGCGGCGTGACCATCCCCCCGGGGGGTGATTTCTCGTTTTCTGTCTCTATGTCTCTCTCTGTCTGTCTGTCGAACGCACACGCCCTATAGCGAAAACCTCTCCAAAAAAAAGAAATACTCATTTTAGGGAGATCAGCAGATGGCATAGTGTTTTTTTCACTAGACTCCCACATGGCCAATTGCAGTTCAAGTCCCGGACCCAGTAGCTTAAAACTCACGTCAGGTGCTTTGCACTGGGGCCCAAGATCCTGGGAGGAGAATGGAGGAGGAAGGATTGGCATGGCCATCCTCCCAGGAAGATGATTTCTCACTTTCTGTCTCTGTCTCTTCAGCAAGCACACACATCCTATAGCAAAAATCTTTCAAACAAACAAAAAAATTTTAAAGAAAAATAAATTTTCATTTTAAGGTATAGCATATAAGGATCTGAGAATGATTTAACTTCAGTCACTCCCTTCTCTTTCTTCCCACCATTGTCCAGCATTTTATTTTTATCTCAGATCTTCTGCCTTCCAAATTTACTATTAGTGTTTAGTCACACAGGTGCTGGTTTAGGCTTACCTGTGCTCACCAGTTTGTTTACTGTCACCATACCAGCTACCAATGTATTGTCTTTCCGCTCCAAACCCATTCTGCACCCTGCTTCATCACCGGTTTTGTGAAACTGGAGCCGGCCCCTGTAAGTGTTTATCAACTGACATGATGTAATGTGAAGGTCTGTCAGTAGAGGGCACCAGAGGTTCACTGCAGGAGCAAGGGGGCTCGCTCGCGCTCTCTCTCTCTCTCTCTCTCTCTCTCTTTCTCTCTCTCTTTCTCCCTTCTCTCCCCTCTATCCCCTCTCTCCTCTCTCTCCCCTCCTCTCCTTGTATTCTTTCTCTTACAGCAGTGTGCATCCACCCAACAGCACGTTTTACCAGGACTCTGGGGGGAGGTTTCTTACCTACCAGTCTTAGCTCATGGTCTGCTCCTGCCTGGCTTCCCGCATGTCTTCCTACTGCAACAAATTTCTCATTCTTTTCTGTTTTAACGGGTGCTTCTTAGTGGTACATTTTCTTACTCTTTGTTATTAGCACTTGGTCTTTAATGATGCACATGTCTTTATTTAACACTCCACTTTTGAAATTCTAAATTAGGCCAGCCCTGAAGCACAGTAGGTAAGCACTGTGGACTGGAAGCCCAAACCTACATGGCAACTGAATCTCAAATCATGGCCCCAGCAGCTTGAAAAACACACCAGGCACATGTTCGTGTATCCCCAAAATCCTGAAAGGAGAGAGAAATGGAGGAAAAAGGATTGCAGAGTGGTCATACCCCATTGGGGGATTCTTTCTCCCTCTCTCTCTCTCTTTCTAGCCACTCCGATATGCCCTCTGGCAATAAAAGAGCGAGGGGGGGGGAGTACATGAAGTGTTACTCAACATTTTTAAAAAATTAAGAAAATTTAAATTAATAATTATTTCTCCTCAGCACTTACAAATTATCATTGCAGTATCTTTTCTCTTTGTTTCTTTTAAGAACTGATTTCAGGACCAGCAGATGGCATAATGGTTACGTCACCGGATCCCATGTAGTCAACCTTGGGTCAAGTCATGGATCCAGTGGCTTAAAACTCATGACAGATACACATGCGTGTGTGCCCAAGATCCTGAGAGGAGAGTGGAGAAGGGATTGTGGTGTGTCCATCCTCCCTGGAGGGTGATTTCTCACTTTCTATCTCTCTAGCAAGTGCACTCACCCTATAGCAAAAAACCTCTCTTAAAAAATTTAAAAAAAAAAAAAAAGGAATTGATTTTAACTCAATTCCTTTGTGGATGATATATTCTCTCTGTTTTTGAAATGTTTGTCTAATGTTTTACAGATTTATTCTTTGTCTAGATGTGAATTTCTTATGTTTTCTGCTAAAAATTTATTGTCTGTACTTAATGTGAATATGAGTAAATTGTATTATTTCTGGAACAAACTCAGCCATAACCTCTTCAAGTATTTGCTCTTCCTCATTCTCTGTAGAAATATGTTGAACTTGTAAGCTGTATTCTACGTGTCACTCAACAGTTCCTTTATAATTTCTTTCTTTTTATATCTTGATGCTATCTCTTGATAATTTTCCTCAGATATATTCTCTCTTCAATGACACCTAATGTCAAATTTCTCCTCTTCACTTAAATATTCTTAGTTAAGGACCAGTAGATGATGTAATGGTTACATCACTGGACTTATATGTAGTCGACCACAGTTTGAGTCCCAGACCTGGCAACTTAAAACTCACTCTGGGCACACATGCATCTGTGCCAAAAATCCCAAGAGGAGAACAGAAGAGAAGGGTTTGTGGCATGGCCAGACGCCCTGGGGGGTGATTTCTCGCTTTCCATGGACGCATATGGAAGATTTGTTGCTGAGTGAAGCAAGTCAGGCTATGAAAGAGAGACATTGTATGTCTCCACTTAACATATACCAACTGCCCGCACTCTATGGTAGAGACTGAAAGACCGGAGCATTAAAAATTTTTATGGACACTGGAGACAAAGTGGAAAGAGTATGGGAGGGAAAG